TCCTTAAATTATAGTAAAATAAAGCAAGTAAACCAGTCAAAATTGGAATTAAATGAATAACCAAATTTCCGTTAGTAAAGTGTAACTAAAGGCCGTTCATAAATTAAAAAAATGAACATCAGTAAAGACGGTTGTGCACGGTTGTAATATAACGGAAATCCGTGTTACATGACACTAAACGAATGAAGTGGTGATATGATACATGTCATTACTTTTTTTCGTTGAACTGAGTACCGGACAGTCTAAATGGACAAGCAAAAATCGGTTGGTAACCGTTAAGACTGAACCGGAGAGCAGTTAGCGGTTAAGACCTTAGGGCCTCTATAGAAAAGTATCTCCCACTTACAAAGTGCCGGCTGTAGCCGAAGTGGCGCCCTAGGCGAGCGTCAGTGCCGGCGTCCCCGGGTGGCAAGTCGGCGCCCGCTCAGATGTCGGTGCCCTAGGCAGTTGCCTATGCCGCCCATAGCACCTGCAGGTGCCAAGATGTTGTCCTGTACCAAGACAGGACGGTATACACGTGTTTTGAACACTTTCATTGATGTCATCTGTGGTTGTGCATGCTTCTTATTAGTTTGGGTTAAATAATCTCGGTGATGAAAGATTATCCATTGGCAACACAATATCCACCATATTCATTCAGTTTCTTGGTTTGACCTGTTATATGACATTTATATTTAAACAATATGCTCTCCTTGTTCAGCATTACATTAACAAGAATGTATCTTTCACGATTGTTTTTGTTATTTTTAAACATTATATTTCGAGAAAAGAATTACTGAAGTACCCAATTTCATGTTATATTCAAGATAGTAATGTTGGAGTAAGCACTTCTAATTCATTCGGTCTATATTAATTATAGTCAAGATTTTTTTTGTCACATGTACATAGGGTATTAAGTCAATTATGTATGTTTTTATGAGAGAAGTATTTGAATGTCTCCTTATCGACATTCGAAACGATAAGCGCTTATAGTATAGATAACGTCACGTTTGACAGCAGTCCAATGTGTAGCAGCACAATACAGATCATTTTAAATTTCAGCCGTCGATCTAAACAAATCAGTGGATTGACGTTTGTATTTCCAGTGTCTTAAATAAAAAAAATCGCGATGATGTTGGTCAAGGAAAGGACTAAAAAAAGCTGGGTTTTGGGACAAATTGTTAAAAGCCTATAAAGTCTCATGCATATTACACACACACACACACACACACACACTAAAAAAGAAGCTGTGATTTTGTTGGGGAAATTTCCATCGAATCGAGGACTACACGTCAAATAGAGCAGAATAGTTACCTTCCATTATATCAAAACGAAATGCACCAAATTAGCTGTTTATTACATTTACACATTTTGGATTTCATTAGACAGAAGTACAAAGAAATAAAAATGTAAATACAAGATTATAAACTATGCAAAGGCGCCCCATTCGTCAATGCAGCGTTAGCTTCCCAGACCGATGCGGGTATCACGGACGTAGCTTTATATTGTCAGACGGATTTTAAAATGTCAAGGGGTTTGTCCGTTCACGCACCTCACTTAATCTGGTTTTTCACTGCACACAACACTGGGTGTTTAGTTTGTCGCATACATCTAGCCTGCTTATCTGTTAGAATACTGCGTGTGATGTCCTCGTTATCTCTAGGCCTGTGTTGCGCTGTCGCCTATATCGACTGCACTGGTTATCTGTGCGATATCCTGCAAAACAGTTAACATGCTATGAAAACAATGCTGCCCTTGCTGCAGGTGGGCTCATCGTCTCCAGTGGACGGCGAAAAACTAAACTGCGGCGCCTCGATTTTCACTGCATCATCTTGCTGTTTTGTGCCCGAGGTAAGACACGATCTCTGAATGGTTCAGATGTTTTTGCACAAAAAGGGACTCTTGTGCTTGGGTGGGGGTGGATGGGGCTGGGATGCCATTCCTGTTGCTTGCGGTGGAGGAGACGTTGTGGTGGTAAAGGTCTGAGTTCTTCATGCAGGAGTCAACGTGGCTCCTGAGCAATGAATGTTGTGTAGGACCACGCGCAGAGGTGGGTTGGGGGACAGAAAAAGGCCACAGATAACGCCACCTTTGCAGATACACGTGACTTCTGCGTGTTTGTCTAACATATATATATATATATATATATATATATATACACCATATCTACGGATCCATTTTATCCAAATAATTCCTGCTGCTTCAGACAAAGAACAAAGCCCTTTGATATAAACACTCAGTGACAACTTTAAGGTGATATTCTGTTTCGTTTGTCCAACCAGTTTTGTTTCGTTTAACTTGGTTGAACTTAAATTTGTTTTTCAAAACGAATGCTTCGCTTTAGGCTGAATTTATCCTGCATTTTTTTCAGCTTTTACTTTATGAATTACGGTAATGTTTGCTATCTGGCACTTCGCAGGCTAAAAAAAGAACGTGCGAGAATACGAATCGTTTTTATGTGTGTGTGTTTGTGTATAAATTAATCATTCACTTGCAAAAAGACTGATATAATTAACAAAACCCATATAAAATTATAACAAATAAAAATTAACCATTTGCCTCAAACGTAAATACAAAATTTGATACTTTTACAATTATTTGCACAACAGTCACACCAAAGCGCTTTACATGGGTGTGTATGATACATCGCAGCATCACTAAGACAGAATAATTCAAAAACAGAGAAAGGAGAAAGACAGAAATTATTTCCTGAAACTGTTTCACGAAAAGGCTATTCTAATAGAGGCAAATCCTAGAATTTCAATCGAAATAAATATCCCTGTAAACCCAAAATGTAACGTTAGGATAAAATTATACTTTTATCCAACTCTAGGCGATATTAAAGTAGCCTACGATAGATGATATTGTAAAGAGACAAAATCTGTGTAGTTGTTGATAATAAAAGCACATCATCTTCTCCTTTTGTATATCTGAAGGACTTTAAACATTTTATTTCACAGCTAAATTACAATCATCCTCAGCTGCAGTTCACATCGGCCGCATAGGAGCCAATCGCGGACCGTTCATCTTTAAAACATCGTGCTCTGAAACAACACAGAACACACTGTACAGCTATAAGTGATCTTATCTTGCAGCGTTCCCCCTCTTAATGTACCTAATTTTAAAAAAAAATCATAAACACACTGTTCGCAAAGTGCTTTCCTTGAGCCGTCAGGTTTTGTCTAGCTTTGGTTTCCCATTAATGCCCATTTATGCTCCCCAACCCCCTCAAATTAAAAACAAAACAGTCCAGCTATGTCCTCTGTTTGTCGTAACTGTCATTTCTGCTTTTATTTATTACTATTTTTTTTCTACATTTTTTGTGACTTAATAGCTTGTGCCTTGGCCTTCGTATAACTTTTAATAATCTGTGAAGCAAAAACATTTAGGCTAAGCCGTTTCCTTTTTCGGAATAACCTAAAGGTCTACATCACATGTCTAAATAGGCCTACCAAATAAATTATTCAGACAGTATAGAAAAAATACTTCCAAAATAAATAAATAAACGTATTCAAAGTTTTATTTGGCGTATGATGCTAACAGAACACACCTGTAGCACAAATACTGTTGTCTACATAGGGCGAAAAAAAAACAATTAGTAATTAATGTGTTTTTGTCTTCCGAGTTGTGTCGTTGCTGCTTGTCTCAAATATGTGTGAACATTTGATTTTTTAATTTTGGGTTTACTTTGATTCAAATCTGTATATGACTGAAAACCTACAGTCAGCGGAATATTTTGCAATATCAAACTTTCCTCGTCCTGTTTCCCGCAAGAGCGGTTCATTGCGGTTCAGCGCTCGTTCATAAATATACTCTCCCATTTGACCTGGACACCTCTATTTGGGTGGCCATGTTAGACATTTAATATATTTTCTGGAATCCTTACTGTCTCAGACGAGCCCTCTGATTCATCATGATTAACATAGCACATGGTAAGGTCATCATGTAATCCCTCCTATACGGTTAACGGAAGATCCAAAATAACAAACTACCAGAAATAAGAGCCACGAACACTGCCGTGGATTGTTATAAATCAAGATATGTATACACCCGGCAATCAAATTACACTTAACATATGCTTCTTTTTTGCTTTTAGTAGTTGTACATAATTCACAAATAAATGTAATCTGTCTATAATGACAATATAGTCACAATTACTCCGTTTCAATTACAAAAAAGGCTCACCTGATACGTAACTTTAAACTGTACTGAACTGCAATTATAAAACGGTCAACATTTGAGTAATTTAAACCCAATTAATGTTTTAGAAATATGCTTTTCAAATTTTAAAAACATTTTCTGTCTATTTTTCTACTAGTCATCCGTAATTCTAATGATCTTGTTAGGTGTTATTTTTAACGGCATATGTTACATTTATTACCAGCTCTGCATAATTTGAAGTAATTAGAAAGTGTATGAGGCATGTGGATAATTTATTTTCTTATGGATTAGCGCATGGTTAGAGGTAGGCCTGCGACTAGCGGACGTCGTTCTTATGCACCTTGATTGTTGTTCAGCCAGTCTCGCAAATGCACCTGCATTTTCCCGTTTCCAGGTGCAAGTTCCTACTGCTTCCAAAATACCCATTAGAGGTTTGGTGTGTGCAGGAAAAATGCATTGCGGTATTGTATTTGAGGCGATAAAGCCGCCGTGTTTCCACAGTAACACAACTGTTTAAGCTTGTAAAACATAAACCACCCACAAAATAGCAGGTATAATGTCTATCCAGCCTTCTGCACGCTGCATGGGCATAGATGGGGCGACGCTTGCTATAGGTGAGCAAAACTTTAACATGCCGATAAGATAATCAAGTAACTCGCAAATGACTAAGGAACCCATCTCTTCCTTTTTCCTGATTTGTCCCCAGATTATAGTCTCATTTCTGATTGTACTTACTGTCTGGGTACCAAAAACAGGCAAAGAGACACGACATAAATGGGAGAGTCTGAACTTTCTTTTTTTTGGGGGGGGGGAGGGGGCCTCTTTACCTCCGACCCCGTTTACCATAGCGACGGAGACGCGTCACAGCTAGACGCATCCATTTACCATGTTCACTAAAAATCACGGCATTCTTTAAGAAATTACACTTAAATGTACACTGGCATTATATTTGCGTTGATTTACATTTTTGCACGGCATTTCAAAAAATTGATCCGTCAGTTTATCGGTAAACTAAGTAATCGTCTCCCTGGGTGAATACAATGGTACATATCCAGCTCCAGCTCCAGGACGAACATGGCGCCTGGTTGCTTAGTGCTGGTCATTTTAATCTCTATCTGATCAGGTTCGTCTCCTGTCCGTATCACAGCCCTACGTCCCTCGGAGCGCTCCGCTCGGTATCTGTCGGCACCATGTCGGATTCAGAGGAAGACAGCCGTGATCGGCAGCTGAAAGTCGTGCTGATCGGAGACGGAGCCTCGGGAAAGGTGGGAGATTTTCTGGTTTACGGAGAGGGCGCATCCGGTCAGGCAGCTCCGGCTACACGCCAGCCAGCTTTTAAATACTGACTATGTGGTTTAAATGTAGTACTTCCCCTCTTGTCGGTTCATTGACCCAATCTGTCCCCATGGGCGGTGTAAGTGCTGGGTGATGGTCAGCCTATGCCGAGACAGCTGTCTATTCTAGTTTGCGTTATGAATTATTAGTAACGTCGCGACGTTGTTTAGTTTAGTTTATAAGTATGTACACATATATATATGCACGTGAGATGTCATTGTGCGAGACATCCTCTAAGTGCTTCATTTAAAGCACTCCTAAGAACTCTGAAAGATGGACATACTATGGACACATTATGCGAAACCGGGTGTTTTTGTTTTGATCTCCACTACACATAGTAGTATATGCTGCAAAAATCAAATTAATTTAATTTAAACAAAAAATGTCCCAAATTCAACTTTATAGAAATGTTGTTGGAAGGGGGATGAAAATCGATTTGGAAAATGCATCCTTGTGTTTTGAAACAGGGATGCTGTTTATGATATGATATACGGTGTCGTTTTTTATGTTCTGTTGTTTTATTTTAGAATGATCTGATTATACGAATTAAATCGCTTTGTTGCATAGCGGGTTCCCCTGGTTACGGTTCAAAGGCGGCGCTTACATTTGGGGCGGGGTTTATGAAGGCGGTGTAACTCATTTGCGTATGTGACTCGTTAACCGCTGGTGATTCGGCATCATCGTGGATTGTCAGTCACCAACTTCAAACTGTTCACCATAAGGGATCAAACTGGATTTGCAGTGGGGTAAATAGCACCCACCTAACAAGGCCTTAAAAACTCACTTTTCCATCTTACTTGGCGGAGTCTCTTAACCTCGGGAATCCTTACAGTTATCGGCGCTCAGATTTTGGCCATTCACTCCAACCACTGCCGTGCGATAGCTCTCATGTTCCGGTGTTCTATCGACCAGTGCTACCTATCGAAACGTGCTACCGAGCCTTTCTGCGCATGTGCAATTCCACCGTTTTGGGATTAGGTTTAGGTTTTAGGGTTAGGGTTAGGGTTAGGGCTACTGATTAGCGCTACAGTTGCCTAACTCGACAAAGTAGCTCAACTCATCAGAACACCGGAAGCCTGTATTTAATGAATACTTACTTGGGGCAATATATAAAACCCAGCAAGTTTGGTATTATCGGTAATCAGAACATTTTCCCAGAAGGTGAATTCAATAACTAGCATGATTAGAGAGATTATAAACATTTATTCATTAAATGCGAAATCCACCTTATTTAAACAGAAAAATAATCAGCAAATCTCCATTAGTTAATATTTTAATATTCTATTTCTGTTGATGTTTATTTAAAGTAATTAAAGTAAGCAAGTAGTTATTTTTTAACCCCTGGTTCTTACGCCCCTGCATTAAAAAAAAGTTCTATGAAATTTCAAATCACAGGAGAATAAATAGCTCTGGAACTTCCCAGGAGCGTACAGGGGTTGCTCTCCCTGCAGATTTCGGAGCTAGGTGTGGCCATGCTATGTCCACATCGCATTCATAAAACATGCAATTTTACAAGCAGAGCCTGTCCCAGTTTCCAGTAAAACCGCTACCTCCATCACGTACGGCAAATAAGACATTGATTGGTAATGTGGTGAATCTTGCTGTTCATGTTACTTTCTTATTATGCACAGGATCTGAGGATTAACATCCTTAGTCCTCCTATTCTGACCCTTATTTATGTATGCATGCGCAGCACTAAGAGCAAACATGGTGAAAAACCTCCACCAAAGTCCCTGCTTGCAGATTTTTTTAAAGAATCTACCTGTTTTTATGATGATTCATTTCCTGTAACTTAAGTTGTTAACTTTGCAAAATTATTTTTTTAATGTTCACAAGAGGGAAGATTAAACCGTTAATTCGTTAGTTTTCCCAGTTGTAGCTAAACCGTAAAATTTTATCGGGTAATTAATGAATTATGATTTGTTTTAAAGTCATGGTTGGAGCATTGCTGACTGTCCCTAATTGAATCCCAGGTGAGTTTGGGGGAGGCAGTTACAGGGTGGCTCTCAGGAGGCGAACAGCAAGCCCTGCGAAGAAATTTGCACCAGTGCAGTGCATGCTGTTTACAGCAAAGTGGGCCGGTTGTCATGACGACCCCAAGCAGTTTCCTTCAGAATGAACCTCCAAACCCTCAGCGGATATGAATGCACTACTATGGCTTAAGTGCTTTTGGTTCTATTTAACCCCCACCCCTACTCATTTTTTTCCCCAAAAAACCCAAATGTAATGTTATTTAAACATAAGAAGAAATAAATGGCTTCAGTATGAGGATCTCTGTTTTTCCCTTTTCTCTTTAAACAGTGAATTAGTGGCGTGGATTCCTGACTGAGCGCGTACAGAAGCCCTCATTCTCGTTGGATAAATCCGCCCCCGTGCCCCCCCCCCCACCCCACCCCCCATCACTATGGTATCATCCTGGATTCATGCCAGGTGCCAGCTTGCCTCTGAATGATTTACCTGCCTGCATGTTTAAAAAAAATTAAATAAAACCCTGGTTGCTGATGTTTGAATAGGTACATTGATTGACGTTTGGCCTGGAACTACCCCCCCCACCACCACCACCCTTTTTCTGCTTCTTCAAATACAAATTTACTCAGCAAATTGCAATCGGATGAGTTTTTCTTGGAGCGGCCCACTGTTGTAATTCCCCTCGCGGCTGTCAATTCGCAGACACTGGGAAATATTTAACTTTCCCCCCCCTACCTGAAGTGGAACCTTCATTTAAAAAAGAAAATAAATAAAGCATAGTGGTAGTAGGAGTAACAACAGTGTGCCAAATGTATATGTGTACACTGTGTGTGTGTGTGTGTGTGTGTGTGTGTGTGTGTATACACACATATATATAAAAAGGGCACGTTTATACCGCACGTCGGGCTGCCGGAGGTGTAGCGGCGGGTGTCTGGGGGGCTGGGTCTCCCTGTAGTGACATGCCCTCACTCTCAGCCCATCTCCCTGCCGCCCCTAATGGCTTCCACAGCTCCTCGCTGTCACAGCACAGGTGACGCTAATGTTTTGCCAGCAGCAAGCGACTTCCACATCCCCCTCCTTGTTTGCTTTTTTTTTTTTCTTTTCTGTTCGTCCCTTTTCTGATCCTTTGACGATCCCCTCCCCTCCCCCGAGTTACCGTGCTGCTTACATGCCCAGGTTGCTGCAGAGCTACCGGAAAGCTGTGAAAATGGGGCAGTTAAGCCGATGCGAGCATGTGGGAATGATTTTTCTGTCTTATTCCCTTATTCCAGTATTGTTAATGATCATTTGTGCTACTAGAACCAAGATCAAGAAGCACTTTTCCCTGTTGTGTCGGGCACTTGGAGTCCCATACATGCCACTCTGTTCCCATCTTTTTAAAATTTTTTGTTTTAGGCCAGCTGGATGGCAGATGGCTGTCAGCCGACAGGCTCCCTGCCGCCTCTCCTTGGCACGGTCATCTTTTCCTGCCGCTCTTATGTATTTTTTTTTTTAAAAGGACCTTTTCAGGAATGGTTTTGCGGCTGCCTGTGCTTCGGAGGGCTCGCTGTCTCTCCGTCTCCAGTGCCCTCCTCTAAAATTAGCTCCCGCGTGCTGTACTTTCTCCCGCTAAACGTTTGTCTCATTTTATCCATGTCTCATCCATCAGGGCGAATTAAACTTGGCAGTACCGCTCCGCGCTGTGAATTCCCGAGCTTTTACAAATCAATCATGTCTCCTTCTCTCTTTTTCTTTCTTCGTTTTCTTTGTGTGTGTGTGTGTGTGTGTCTGTCTGTGGGTAATAGCCATGTGTCTGTTTTTCCCGCGGCTCTGCTGCCCATCTTGTCTGAGATGTGGTTATACGTAAGTCCCAGAGTGATCTGCTTCTCTTTATTCCAAAAGTGTGATTGACCCCCAATCATTTAGGGTGCGTGATAAGACGGAGACGGCGTTTCCCAACAGAATAACATTTATTCACTGGAGGAACCTTGATTTTGGACGTTTATGTGCACGTGTGTGTTTTTAAGGCTGGAATTTGGTGCTTACTGTCCTCTTTCAGACATCACTTGCCACCAGATTTGCTCAGGAGGCCTTTGGGAAGCAGTACAAGCAAACAATAGGACTGGACTTCTTTCTGAAGAGAATCACTCTGCCAGGTGAGATGCCTTTGGGAGGGGGGGTGCTTATTTTCGCACCTGCAGTAAGGGTCCCACACCGAGGGATCCTCACCCCAAGCTCCCCCCTTACTCAGTGGAACAAAAAGACACTAGAAGCTGTCAAGTTCATAGTAATGGAGAGGGAGTAAATGAACACGCCCAGAGAGGCAGTAATCTCAGCAGAGAATGTTCAGATTAAATGCTTTAACACTGCGGTGAGGATCTGTGATAGTGATGGACAGACGGTCCCTGGGCCAGTGAGGAGCTGAGCTGTCAGTCACAGACAAGGGAAAGTACCTGCCGGGCCGCGTGTAATGCTGACGATGCAGTTAGCAAGACGTGAAAAGTACATTTCATATAGCTTTATTGAAGTTAACGCACCTAGAAATATTTCAAGCTTCAGTCATTTTTAAAATTGAAATTGTGTAAACTTTCTCCGTAACATAAAAAAAAAAAACTTGAATTATTCTCCTCACTGTTGCTGACTAATTTGTTTCGTTTGTTTTTGAAGCATTTTCTTTCTGCTGAAAGTTGTTTTGGGAAAATGCTACTTTCCTTTTTAAGGGAATTTTGTGAAATTTGATAGCCTGTAAAGTATTGATTACATCGAGAATGAGATGGAAGTTTAATGCCATAAAATATTCTTAATGATCATTTCAAATGCTTGAGCCTCTCAGTATCAAAAAACATAATTAACTCTAATAAAAATTTGGTCACAAAAAAAATCATGATTAAAACAATATTTAAGGCATCCAACTTTTTTTCTCAAAAACTAAAAAGTAACATTGTATTCAAACAGAATGAAGTGATTGACTCATTTTAGTAATATCAAAATCTAATTTGCATGCAAAAAAATACAAAAACAATTTGAAACTTAAAAAATCTGGCCGTGTGAATGAATTTAAATAACATTTTAAGAAGAATAAAGCACATTGCGTTTGTATAATTCTGGTCATTAATTTTTAGATTGATAATTGTATACATCACATTTTGGAGTAATTTTCTGTGAAGATGTTTTGCCAGGAGAATTTTTTGTGACACACTGCCACATAAAACGAGGGTCTCTGTACACCATCCCATAATAGTCTGTTCTATTTGTCTGAGCTGTGAACCTATGAAGAGCAGTTTGTCTGAGTGTGTTTAATATGGGGCATGGCATTTAAATGTGCTGAGGGTGAACCGCAACACGTCCTGACACTGCAATTCTTACTGTGATGTATGTGCAGGGCTGTGGCTGCACATACATCCACAGCCCTGCACATCACGAACGTGGGAGAGGTGTGGTTATGTCCTTTACTACTTTATGCTGCAGTACAGCAAAATGGCTGCCCTTACGGCGCCCCCTACTGCTCAGGAACTCCAACTGCATCTCAAGTCTCATTTTCTGCTCTCTCTCTTTCTCTCTCTCTCTCTCTCTCTCTCTCTCACTCTTTCACTCTCTTTTCCCTCTCCCTCTGTGCTGCTGTCATTCTTTATCTCGGCCTCTGTCGATTAAAATACCATATTGGCAAACTCTCTGTTTGCCCCGCCCCCTCATTCAGCACAAGGCTGAGAAAATGAAATCACCATTGAAATCAGCCAGCCAGACAGAAAAGGCCAGGACTAGTGGAGGTACTGACCCCGAAAATGTGCGAGGACACGACAAGAGCCTGAGGAGTAGCATTGGGTGGCCGGGTGACTTAGTGGGTTAAGATTCTGTGCCTATGATTGGAAGGTTGCTGGTTCAAATCCTAGGATTGGCAGAGTGATTTCACCATTGGGTCTTGAGCAAGGTCCTTAAGCCGCAGTTGTTCCAGGAACTGGCTGACCTGCTTCATGAATGTAATAATGGAGTTCTGTGGATCAAGGAACAGTCCTGGCTTTCGGACAGTCAGCCTCAGATTGTGTTTAAAATAAATGCTGTGTGTGTGTGTGTGTGTGTGTGCTTTTGCGGTAACGAGGCAGATTCTTCTACTGTATAGTCTGCAGTCACTGACTGTGAACATGCACATTCTTGCGTCTCAGCGAGTAAAAATACCAACGTGTGCCCAGTCACTCAGGGCCCCCCGGATGGCCTCCCAGTAGGGGCCCAGGCTGTGCCCCAGTCATGGCTGTGTGGCCCCCACTTACAGCGAAGCATCACTTCCCCAGCCAGACGTACACTGTACACCCCCCTCCAAATTGAGGTCTCTCTTCCAACCAGTATAAACTCTGCAGTGTGCAGTCCTCCTGGTTTTTTTCCGTAGGAAGAAAATATTTATTTTGATTTGGTTTTGTGCCTCTCTCCTACAAATTGGGGAAGAAATCCTAAACGGATTCTGTTATTTTCTGTTTAATTATCATTATTTTTCTTAACACCACATATATTTTTTCTCCCTCTCATTCCTTGGCCATAACTGGGCTCCCTGCTACCTTTCCTTCATCCTGTCTTTTTTTGTTCCTCCTCTCCGTCCGCCCGCTCGAGCTGTTTAAATTACAGGGTAGGGGTATCCTTTCGTCCCCTGGCTTCTGCCCCTCAGATATTCTTGGCTGGGAGGAGGGAGGAGCCATGCCAGCGGTCAGGAGTCGAAGTAAAAGATTAATCTCGCATTTATTATTCCTAAACCCTGCTCATGAACCCTTTCCAAAACACGGACCTCCACTCTCTGAGCTAAATCAGCACACTTTTCTTAATTCAAAGAATGCTCTGAAAGTCTCAGAACATGGGGAATAAAGATTAAAATGCGTCCGACGTGGTACTTTCTATGCCCCTGAAGTGTAGGGTGTGTTGGGTATCCAGTTTCTAGGGCCGATAAAATTAACAATGTAAGCTGGATGCAAGCTTAAAAACCATCTTTGGCTGATTAATCTGTTCTTATCAGAAAGTCACCGAAACTAAATGCTTGAAACACTCGGGCATGTAAAGGATTAGCTCAGGAGCTGTGTAGCTTGATTAGTGTGCAACTGAGGAGATTTGCATGGTAGATTTGGGGGGAGGCTCAAGACTGGCAAAACAGAAAAGATGTAACCCGCCAAGAACTTCATTTATTAAGCTAGTGTTGGATAATTCACTGGATGGATGTTCACTGACTGTAGGAAACTTAATTCTGCTATTTGCACCTCTTTGATATGTGGCACTGTTACCGTTCTGCACCATTCTGGAAATACTGTGCCCTGGTGGTCTCACATGATTCTCTGTGGTGCATGTGTGTCTGTCTGAGTGTCTGTCTGCCTCTGTGTGTCTGTCAGTCTGTGTGTCTATCTGTGTAGATATAAGCTGTGAGAATCTGGCAGTCAGTGAAAGTGATTTTTTTCCTCTGTCCTCCCATCAGGCAACCTAAACGTCACACTGCAGGTCTGGGACATTGGGGGCCAATCCATTGGAGGGAAGATGCTGGACAAGTACATTTATGGAGCTCAGGTAGAGGTTCCAGCCCTGACTCTCCTTGGTGGCAGAAACGATCCCGGCCTGGTCTCTCTTTGGTGGAGGACACGGTCCCAGCCCGGCCTGGTCTCTCTGTGGTAGTGGACATGGTCCCAGCCCGGCCTGGTCTCTCTCTGGTAGTGGACACGGTCCCAGCCCGGCCTGGTCTCTCCGTGGTAGTGGACACGGTCCCAGCCCGGCCTGGTCTCTCCGTGGTAGTGGACACGGTCCCAGCCCGGCCTGGTCTCTCCGTGGTAGTGGACACGGTCCCAGCCTGGC